AGTATGATAGAGCAGTTTATAACATGTCACTGCATGCGTTGATTTATATAGTTCCATATTGTCAGCAAAAAATCCTTCACTGTTCTATTTTCATTTTGCAGATATGGTTCAAGAGACTGTGGATTTGCTGTTGAGGAGAGGGAACTGGATGTGTTTCCCGAGGAGGGGCTACCGGTTGGATTGTGTGGTGATCCAAACATTGAGGAATATTTACAACAGGCTGTACAACAAAACACACTGCAGCAGCCACAAGACTGGGAATCGGCCACAGAACTGTATTTGGCCCTGAAGGACATAGCTGGGTTTTAGATACCAACTGAACTTCAGTTTGTAATGACATTTGTCAGAGTTACTCTGACGAAGACACACACTGTGTCGAAACGTTAGTTTCTTTCCTTTTTTTGCACCTAATAAAACCTTTGGACTTGAGTGCTCCAGCCCTTCTGTTTTTCCTTCATTTTTTAATGTTAGTAGTGTTTCCTTTCCCTCTTGCTAAATTGAATATAATATTGTTCATAATATACAGCAACTGGCATGAATTTAAATATTAACATTTAACCACAAGGAAACATTTACAATTTTCTTTAATAAAACCATTTACAAATAGTGTCCAGCATTTCTGTCACTTTTCCAACATACACAATATTAAGAAAAAACAACTAAATGTTTAACAATATGGAAGTTGCTTATCACATGAATGTGTTAAGTAGTGTGCCAACGGCAGCTGAACCTAACAGGGTAACTCAGTAACTGTAACTTGATGACCTTGCTGATTTAAGAACATCCAAATCCTGGAGCATTTTGAATTCCAAAGTCCATGTTGGCCTTAAAGATGCCATATGAGTCACAGATGGGTAGCTTCAGAGTATTTGCACAGGTGTTTGCAACTGGAAAAGGCGAATCACTTAAAAACTGGATGCATGGTGGTGGTGTCATTCCTGCCGGTGGAACTGCCGTCAGCCCTGTGGCAAACATCATCAAATCTTCCAGACACACTGCTGTTGCCTTCTCTGAAAGAAGAAAGTAAACACTGTAGTACATTACAGAAAATTAATTTCCTTACCTCTCCTTTCATAAAACTATAAACAAATAAAAACGGCCATTCAAACCTTCACAATCAAGGAGATAATCTGCCCAAAAGCCAAGTGTTAGGACCTCCTTATGCCGCTTGTTGCTTCCTGCTGGGCTGAGATCTGGTCTGAACATGCTCTCCAGTTCTGAAGCAGTCAGGGCCTTGGCAGAGAAGCATAGGAGTGGGGCCAGCACACTGGAATGTTTTGCAGTGCACTTAAAAAATTCAGACTTTCCAGTCCATCTTTAAATCTGCAAAGGATAGACAAATAACTAATAATTGGTTTATAGCTATAACTATTGCAGTCTTCTAAATTGTGTTTAAATGTCTTTACCTACTAGATCTTTCATTATAAATTTGGACAGATTTCAAATGCATACACAAAAACAATTCATAGTGCTCAGAAATTAACTGTGACAGCAAAAAAAGAAGAGCTCATTGGATTTCAGCATTTAAAAAAAAAATAGTGCTTTCACACTGGAATAAACAAGTGTGTCAAAAAAGGGATCACCTCTTTTTATAAATAACTGAAAAATTAATCATGTTGCATGACTGATTATTATGGGTCATTGTGAACAATAAATGTATACTAAATTAGAGTTCTAGTGTCAAAAGGTTAATAGCGTGCAACAGTGGCTCAGGAATTAACTTGTTGTTCATCAGATCACACGGATGCTACCGAATCAGTTTTTTCATATACATCTGAAGGTCTGAAAATGTCAGTGGCTGCTGTGATGAGCAACTGGCCATCCTGAATTTAAAAGGAGTAATGAGTTTACCGTTGAATGACACTTTGGTTTCTTTCAAGGATGTACCATCTGAGGTATCCTCCACAAATGCTTGTTTCTCACAAGGCTTGACGTTTCTGAGGCATCCAGCAGTTTGGAAGATTGTGCTGTTTTGCAAAATAAGATTATGCAAAGACTCCTCTGATTCAGCTTTCAGGACCTATAAAAAAAAAAAGGTTTACTGTAAGAAAAACAAAAATAATTTTCACTACTTTTACGATTCATTCAAACATTGGATTAAAAAAATAATCAATTTGTTATTTCACTTGTGTTGTTGGGAGGTGGAAATCTGTCCTTTCAGATTACAGAATCTACCTTGAACCTACTTTCAAGATATGATCCAACACGGATAACTTTTATCCTGATTAAATCTTTTAAACTGGCCCCAAGTGTCTTCTAAGTAAACCCATTCCCTGAGCCTAGGTAATTTTCTACCTGATGTAGAACTTTTGTGATCTCCTCATCTTGCACATCTTCTACAGTGGCGCTGAAACTCTGATTCCCTGTGATGTGGTTGACCAGGTTCTTGGAGAGGAAATGTGGTGCTGGTCCCCCATGCACAATGGATACAGCGATCATCTTTCCTGCTAAAAAGTACTCATCTTGCCTGGCAGCTGTAATACAGGGCACATAATTATCATGGTTAATTGCTATTAAATATGCTAATGAAAAAAATAAGCCAATTTTTATTAAAATTTCCATTGTAATAATTACGGAGAAAACATCCACCTCTTGAATTATATACAAGATAACGGCTCTCTGGAGGTCCATCAAAGATGGGGGATTTCGTGCTTTATGCGTAATGTTATCATTTCACAATTTCAAAATTAGCAGTTGTTGAAACTAAGGGAATGTGTGTCAAAATCAAAACAAACATTAGCAGCTTACCATCTTCAAAGTCACTCTTCAAGCAGATGAAAACAGTGATTCTTTGATAAGGCTTGCCAACTTCAGCCTTATAAGCCTCAAGTGTAAATGGTCTTTGTGTTCCAGGGACAGTAATGACCTCAGTGCCATCCGGATACAGAAGAAGGAAAGGTCCATCTTTTAGATCTTTGTTAAAGTCCTTCATTTTTTTAACAGCTTGATTGAGCAGACTTGTGGCAGTAGCGTCAGGGTCTGTTGTTAGGAAAATAGTTTTTCCACGGTATGGCTTCAAACCACCCTTTTTAATGGTCATCAAGCCGACATTTATCTGTAAGGAAAAACACATGAACAATGGGCCAAGTAGATACTAATATGACTCTAAGCAGATCTATTCAAACTTGAATATTTATTACACTCCTTCGTAAAATGAATAATATAACACATTCGCAATAAAAATATACCGAACTGAATTACATATGGAGGCCAAGTAGATACCTAATAATTGAACTCCTGTAATAGCCAATAATCTTTTCCAATCTGAGAATGTATCGTTATTAACAAACTGACCCATGTAGGTGATCTTACATTTAAAGCCAGCATGATCTAAACTAACACTCGTACAGAGGTAGAAACAACATTCTCAACACTCCTATCGTGCGTATTTTAATAGCCAGAATTTGTATACCACAGGTCTACGCTGTATTCTGGTAGAATAGTCTATCTGTGTGACATACGAAATTTTTTTACCACAACTCCCCATAAAGGAATATCCACACAAAGAATGTCAAATATAGGCAAAATGAGTTTAACTTACAAACCAGTATTGTTTTCCAAATGAACTGAGCGTAAGCCAAACCTAAACTTGCTCTCCTCCTCCTTAAACATGTTCTGAACCTTTTCTTTTTTAATCCTGATTTTTCTTTATAAGTAGCCACTTAATCTCTCCACGATCAGAAAAACATTTTGTCGCGTCCCCTATCACTGATAATTCATCGCGTTTTTTCTGTAGAGTACACTATCTATATGAAGAAGCGCTATGACCTAGGGAAAAGTAAGTTAACAACCGCATAAAATATAACCTTCAGTAAAAGAAGGAGTCCAGCGGGCGGTTACTACAGCTGTATGTACCTGCGGCGCCTGGCTCGATCCTGTACTATGTGCTGGTTAATATTCACTACTCCATCATTGACTGCCTACTGCCGCACTAACCAATTTTCTCTTGTATGTTCGGGATTCGACTGCTGTCTTTCACCATAATTTGGCATACGTTGCCCTGAATTTAGACCGTATTATCCGAGTGATGTATAGCTATAAACCCAGAACACTAGCATACTACCGTGGTGTTTTAATCACACTGAAAAACGTTTGCGCTGTCTCCGACACCACTATCTGCTCCGATATAGTGTTTTTTAAATATCTTGCTGCATTTTGTATAAGTTCATACTCAAGTTTAAAACAACAACTACACTAAAGCTATTCTGTTATACCTGTATGCAAAAAAAAAATTTCATAGTTCAGCAATACTGATCAATCTAATAAACTTAAACCTACACCATCCTCCCTATTCTGGTATTTTAAAGAGTACTTAGCGTAAATATTAAGCAACCTAACTAATAGGGTTCCAACTCCCAGCAACAACAAAAATAAATAAATAAAAAATAGGGAACCACCCCTCACGCTCCACCTCATGATGCTTAATCGACGTAATCAACCTTAATTTGATGCAGTGTGAAAAAAAATGCACAGAAATCAATTATTTTTCAAGAAATATTAAATAGATTCAACATCTTTCTTCAACAAAATTGCAGACTGCACAGATGGTACCTTCCCAAAGTAAAGAGTACTATAGCTTACTAGGGTATATATATTAGACTTAATAGTCACTTAGGCAAGGATCTTATTTTATTTAACGTCTTATTGATAAGAACTATGTATAGTCAGTTGCCCATTTCAAGTTTTAAAATAAAAATTACAGTATTTAACTACACATACCATTCCAATATCGCTAATTGTTTAACGCCGTTTATCCTGGTTTTACTAGAAATGGTGTGTCTGGATCTGGTGGGTGCTGGACTGTGTTAACCAGTAAATAATGGAAATCCTTAGATATCTCCAGAGCTGACGTCCTAATAGGGCAAAGGTGATTTACAGCTTTGAAAAATACAGGTACTGTTTATAAGAAAGTAGCGTACCTAACTGAATCAACACGAGCGCCAAGTCTGGAACATCTAGACAGTGTGTTCTACATTATTAATGAACCTCAACGAGTTTAAAATTAACACAGTTGACAGTTACAGTTTTTAGTCTGCACAACGTATATTTATTGTTTCGTATCTGATATTGAAATATTCGTCTGCTTTTGTGAAATGCAATATGATTTATCCCGTTCTGATACGATTCTTCTCTCCCCGTGATGCCGCCCCGGGCAACCGCCCGTGTCACCCGTATCTAAAACCTCTACTGTGTGCCGCAGGAGCACAGTAGAGGTTTGTGCTTGCATCGAGGCGGGCCTGCAGGACTGCCCGTGCCTTTATGCCATGCCTTCTAGGGCCCTCTGCGGTTGCTGCGGTTACCACGTTTTTTTGGACTCTATAATTGAGTCTTGCGCTTTCACTCTGGATTCTGCAGCCCTGTACAAAGCAGCGATTATTCCTGAGCAGCAGAGGAGTTGGGGAGGCCTGGGGTTAAAAGGGGCTTTGAATGAAGGCCATCTGATTCTCATGAAGCTCACTGGCTGCACGCTCTTTGTCTTCAGCTTTCTGAAATGCCCCGGCCTGACTGAGCGCTTAGAACAGACAACAGCTTGTCTCCTCACAATTAGAGGTCTAAATTTAACTAGAAGGACACAGGCTGAATATTTTCATGGCTCTTCAAACTGTCATTATTTCATTATTTATATTGCAGACAGGCCATGAAAAACATGAAAGCAATTACAACACTCAAGAAAATTACTTTAACCAGTCTCTGAAGCCCAGTGCGTTTAATGTGTGGCCATGCAGAGCAGCTAGCCTCACTCTGCTCCCACAGAGGGTGGGTAACAGTGCTGCATCCTCACTGCTGCCCTGCACACTGTGGCTGTTCTGATAAGAAAGTCTCAGATCACAAGCGCTTGACTCCTTGGTGGCTGCAGCTCAGGAGGTAGAGCAGCTCACCTACTGATCGCTTCTTTCTAATATTGTCTTTAGCTAGCAAAGCAAAGCACGTGACACAACTGTGAATGAACACTTTATACATAAAAGTGAAGTAAACATAACTAGAGGAGCACTTTTACTATAGTCAGAGCCCTCGTGTATCATTCAAGCTACACTATCCGTCTGAGTTAAGCTGGATATGTGGGCGATATTACAGGACAAGCAGAAGAAAGACACAGAAGCTAATGCTTATTATATCACAGCCAATTAGACGCTGTCATTATCACATGAGTTCAGGCAGCAAACGATGGGTGCACTGAGAGGAAAAAGACTTTAAAGATCTAAACTTCATATTCTGCCTTTTGTCAGTTACTAACTTTCAGAAGTATGACACAATGGTAACACAATACAGAGGTAAAGGTAATGGAATACAATTTAAAAAGTGAACCTGCACATGGATGTGGCAGCCAGTCACACACTGAAAACATCTGTTTCCAGGCTCTCGTGTGTTACCAGTTGAACACAGGGTTTCTTATATTAGCTGCCATGTTGACATTTTCATGCATCTTGGAATTTTCTGTGCTGAAATCTGACCTACTTGTCCTACTTGGCTGATTTACTGGATTTTCCCTCGCGGAAACTTCTCTTACATGCACCATGAAGAGCCTTTACAGTCTTTTTATTGCACTATGGGAAGAATCTCACTTTTCAAATCCACGTAAATGCATTTGAAAGTTTTCAGCCATTCATCTGTCTTCTTAAGCTTCTCCAGTTCAGGATGAGAGGGTGGTTTGAGCCATAGTGTACACCCTGAACAGGCCAGCAGTCTGTTGCAGGGCTGGCACATAGAGGCAAACACTCATTCACATCTACCACCAATTTCAATCATCAGTTAACTGAACCCCACGCCTGTGTCACCTGCTCCACACAGAAGGATCGTGGCCTGGAGTCAAACCCAGGACCTTCTTGCTGTGCGACATAATGTTAATCATCATTTGAAAGATGATGATTAACATTATGTCGCACATTTAGCAGATAAAAGACGTCCCTCAACAAAACGAAATCAGGGTAAAGCCGTGTGTCCATGTGGTCGTTATGAATAACAGGAGTCCAGCTAAGTTCCTACCAAGAGACTAAAAGTTTGAGCGTGTCTGGAAACAGTTTCATTGCAGAGCTGGTCCTGAGTGGGTGCTTAGATGTCCTGTGCACAAATACATACTCTGTACTAATATGGGACCGAGTGGCTCCCAGTAGCACTCTACACAACAGCGTGGCTGCTGCACACTGACCAGCACATAAGGAGATTCTGCAGATAATCATTGTTGGAATTTACAGGGTTTATTTTCACTTCTTCCTTTCATGTTTGCAACGCTACATTGTTACATAAATGTAGACATGATATACTCCCCAGATAAAAAGTAGTAATAGAGTAACATTCCTGTACTGTTTAACAGCGTCTACTGCACACTACATCGACTAGCTACACACATCTTTGAGTTCAGGGAGGCTGGAAAGCCTGGATCGGTCATTCCAGCAGGGACACCACATTATTCCTTCAACCTAGCACACGTGTCTGTGCAGTGAGAGAAAGCAGCCACAGGGGGAATAGGATGAAACCCGGACCTGAAGAGGAGGGTACTTTAGTCCTTGTTAGGAACAGCTGCTGCTAGGGAGCCGGTGCTACCAATCGGGAGGTTGTTGGTTGAATTCCTGGCTTCTCCCACGTAAATGCAACATGTTCTTGGGCAATTTGGCGAAGCCCAAATTGCCTCTGATGACTCTGTGTATGCACGTGAGGTGGAAAGTACTTCAGCACAGAATAAAGCATCTGTATGAATGTGTGTGTGATTCAGGCTCTGAATACAAATAGTGCTTTGATTGTTAAAGTACCGTGCACCGGTCCATCGTTGCCATCATACGATTCAGGTACTCTGAATATCTCCTATTAGGATCTACAGATGATTACATTTGGGGTCACACACTCTTGTCACAGACGACGCCTGTTAGCACCGTACCTGTGTGGGGGAGTGGTTACAGTCTGTTCCCCAACTACGAGCGCTGATGTCAGCCTCCAATCAGAGCGAGCGCTTCACCTCACAACTGCACGCTCGGAGCCTCTTTCCACAGACGTGACCTGATTTCCATGTTAGCAGTAGAAGCATGTTATAGGCTGGGATTAGTGCGTGGTCCAGGTTTAACATTAAAGATTTAAAACTTTATTTATAACATGTCGTTTTCATTGTGAATAGCAGACTGCTTTACTTTGGGACACTGCACATAAATACAGCTCGGCCAAACAAGAGGGCACAAAACAACAAAGAGCAAAGGGAGGCTGGAAATTCAGGACTACTCCGGTCTAGCCATTAGCATGAACGCCAAACGAGGTACGTGCTCTTGGAGCCGACGAATGGATCAGCAGCATTAAGGAATGCGCGGGATTCATCGGATTCATCGGCAGCAGCATCTCTACATCAGTGTGCCATCATTTCTTTTATAAAAGAGGCTATTAGCTTAAAAACAGCATCTGCCACTGTGTGCGTGTGGTGATTCTATGCTACGTCTTACAAACTTTGGAGCTGAGATCAAAGTCTAGGTGAAGATGAAATACAAAGCAACGTTTCAGATAACAGAGAATAAAAAGACTAGCGATAGCAAAAGACTTGCTCTGTTGCAGTGATAAAACACATCTGCTAACAGGTGGAGAGCCCGACTAGCAGATGTTCTGATCGTTGTAATGGTAGTCGTGGTGGTAGCCGGCGTGGTACTCGTCCTCGTGGAATTCAGCCTGATAGTCACTGTCGCTGATGTCGGAACCATTGGTGCCGGTGCCTTGGCTGCCGTTAGTGTGGACGACCGGCTCGGTGGGGGGGGCGCAGTACTTGGGGTCGTAAACCTGGCGGCCCAGCCCGTACACGCTCATTCCTTTCTGAGACGCCACCTTGTTGGTGCCCATCTGCAGAGAGATGGTGGTGTTGTCCAGCGGCTGCACGGCCACTTTCTGATCAAAGATGTCTCTGCGAGTACCGGGGGCCGGCATGCCCGCCTACAGGGAACATGGCACACATCAGCACGACAAACACATTTACACAGAGAGGACTCAAAGTGATCACTGAGCAATAACGCAGAGCTTCACTGGGCACACGTTTCAGATCAAACTCGTTTGATTATTAGACAAAGGTGACTTTTTAAAATGATGGCTTGGCTTATTAAGATTCATTGTATGTAATTGCATTTTTCAGACTGTGTTTTGTCCTGATGCCAACCATGCTAACCTCTGATGAACAGAATAGCAGGTCGGGTTAAGCAGCCGTCCTCCTGAAGACACGTCAGACTTTTTATACAGTGCAGGATATTTTATTTAAGCTATTTAGCAGGGACGCAGCAAAAGCTAACAAGAGTCCCACAATCAAATCACCTGGCTTTTATAATCAAACTGCTCTGTGCTTGATGCCAGTGCTGATTTCTGATAGGGTCTTCAATGCACGACGCTCCTTTGAGACGTTAATGAGGAAGAGACAGTCTTAAACCCACAGTGGCTGTTTCCTTCTTCAGGTGTTGACCAAAAAAGCTAAACTCATTTATTTATGAATCTGTCACTCAGCATGTGAAAAGTCGTATAGATGTGGGGCTCGCGTTCCACTCAAGTGTCTCAGATGTTGTCGAGACACTCTTGGAGTAATGTTGGGAGGTCGGCCACTCCTGGGAGGGCTGCTCCAGGTCTCCTCCGTTTGTGGTTTGAACGAGGCCCAAACGGCTTTGTTACCCAAATGCAGACTGATTTCACTGAGCTTTTCTCGTGTTGCTTTTTGAAAACTTCAGGACTGGCCTGGTGTAGCGAGTGAAATCAAAGCTTTTCCTTTAAGAAATGAAATCTTCAGGTTATCTTTGTCTAAACACACCAAGTGTGGACAATATGCGAAACAAAAGATCATGATAATGATCAGGGAGTGGGCCAATACTTCTGTCACAGCACGACACATGGTAGAGAGTAAGGACTGGGTTTCACCTGGCTGGCTCCTTTGTTGGTGCCCATCTGCAGGCTGATGGTAGTCTGGTCATAAGGTTTGTCAGTGTGAGTCTTTGGATCGTACAGATGTCGTCTCGTTCCATACGCAGTCATTCCAGCCTGACTCGCACACTTGTTTGTTCCCATCTGAGAAACCAGAGACACAAGCTCAGCAAACACAGTTCGTCTCATTTCACTCTACAGTGAACTGTTGGCATTTAAACGTATTTAAACGTATCAGGTTAAACAGGGAGTGTTTCTCTGCTCCATCAAAAGACACTGAAATGGTTTAAATCTAATGATGACACATCTCAGGTCATGTGACAGTCACACTGAGCACTTCATTTACCTGCAGCCCGATGACACACTGGCCAGCCTTGATCTTCTCATCATCGAAGTGTCGAGCTTGTTTGTCTGCATATTTCACTCCGATATCGATCTTTGTGTCAATGCCTTTAGTCTTAGCCTGTCAGATAACACACGCTCGTCAGACTGATGGCGCTTTGTGTTCTATAACAGAAGAAAGACGCACTCGTCCTCTGTGCTGTGCGTGCACTCACCATGCTAGCCAGTGCGAGTAGTGTTGTCTGGACTTGAGTCATGTTTCCGTTTTCAAACAGGTCATTGGCCTCAAAGATGTCATTGGGCTTCAGGCCGTAGGCCAGGATAGCTTTTATGAAATTCCCGAGGTTTTCCAGCTGCAGAGAGCATCAGGGAAACAGAGTGATAAGAGACGGAGCACTAATAAGACTGCTGGTGAAATGAACGAGTGACGTGCTTCAGCTGCAGCTCTGCAGTGTTTGTGGGTCGCGCTCACCTTGTGCCAGTTGAGCTGTGAAAGGTTGATTTTCTTCACTGAACCAGGCTGCAGCTTATTAATCAGTCTGTGAGACGCAGGGAAGAAAACATCACATTAGTCCCACTGCTGCAGCGGATATCATGCAGTTCAGACACATTTCCTTCATTTGAGAGGACATTGCATCACTCGCATAACTTCCTGTTTTATAACGCTCAAAGTACCATCAAACCAAAATTCACCTGAAATGTGAATTTCTTCAAAATCAAGTTCAAACCATTAGAGAATATTCATAACCACCCCACAGACATAATGTACAGGTAAACAGCAGTGCTACTGACATCACGTCACGATCTTAAATATGACCACGCCCTTTAAGGTGGCAGTAACCTGACCATCACTGAACCCTCTGGGGTTACGACCCATTCAGTTTGTTGGTGGCCAAAAGTAGGTCTGTAGTTTTTATTATTTTTATGGTTTTTTGCCATTTTTTCTGCATAAAGCTTTTAACTAACTTCAGTTCTTTTCATAAATATAAAATAATTATTACTTTTTAAATGTTTAACCCTTTAAACACCAGTTTGTTTGTCCACTGCACCAGCTGGAAGACAACCTCAAATCTCACAATTTTATATAATTGCATTGCTACTGAAATTTCTTGTATTGTTAATAGTAGAGTCTGGGGCATGTAATTGATTCACATCAACACTGATTATAATGCATTGTTGTTTTTGTGCAGGGAGAGCAAAAACATAAAAACTCCCTGTCAGCTTGTTTGTGGCCAAAAATGGACACCCCCTGTTTACGTTTACAAAATGCTATAAAATTCATATATATTAAGAAAAAATTCCACTTTTTCTGACTTGATTTTTTAAGATTAGCATCAGTGCTGTTCATGAAAATCAAAATTTCATTCAAATTCAGAATTTTAACCCTTTAAATACCAGTTAGATCACATAATTTTAATGATTTAAATAGGGATAAAAGCATAAAATCCCCATTTTTTTTCTAAATAATACATGCAAACTGATTTATTTTCTAACCATGGTGGAGGTTAGATGCGTAGCAATAATTAAAAGTATCAATGAGTATCAATGAATGGCCAAAAAGTAAATCACAAATGGTGTGTTAGTGGCCACAAAGGCAATTTAATGACCAAATAACCACTGAGATGACCAATAAAATGATCGAAATTGATATTCCAGTGTGTGCTTCTGCGTGCATCCTCATTAGCAGCAAGATGTACTAACCACAGTAGAGTGGCTTTTGTAGGCACACTTTCTACACCTGGTGCAAGGGGCTGCTGTTCCAATCCTGGAGGTGCGCCTTTTGCACCTTCTTGTCATTTCGTTGGTGGGGTGGGTTAGGGGGTGTGGGGTAGTCTGAACACTCTGGTTCAGACTACTGTATCTTGAGATCAATGGCAGAAGTGGCTGAGAATTAAGGAGAAGGGTGTCTTGCAGTTGTTGAGGTCACCAGCATGTGTCCCAGCTCTCCCAGGACACACATCAGTCATCAAGAACATCGTAGTCAAATGAGCTTACAAAGAAAAGTGTCTGGACTTCTTTAAGTTGCTTGAAGACGTTTCACTTCTCATCTGAGAAGCTTCTTCAGTTCTAAGGTCAAATGGTGGGGAGTCCCAGATATAAACCTAGTGGGAGTGACCCCCCACAGAGGGACAAAGGACCCCCTGATGATCCTCTAATCGCCTGAGCCAAGGTGTGAAACTGGGTGTGGGCCCCAATCAGCCAGAGTTTCGGGTGTGTTCATTGTGAAACCTGGAGCACAAACTTGGAGTAATCAGGACCCTACACCACGGGCAGAACATGTTCCCTCTAAGCCTGAAGGAAAAAAGAAGGAACACACACATGTAAAGGAAGCACTCAAAACGTGCGGCTATCCTAAATGGGCGTTCTTAAAGTCAGCAAAGAGGCACAGAAAAGAAGACCAGACACCAGCGAGGGAGGATAAGAAGGACAGACGCAACAACATTGTCATCCCCTATGTAGCCGGTGTATCAGAGAAACTCAGGAGAGTTTTCTCCAAGCATGACATCCCGGTGCATTTCAGACCCAGCAACACGCTCAGACAGAAACTGGTTCACCCGAAAGACAAAACGCCAAAACACAAACTTAACAATGTGGTGTATGCTGTACAGTGCAGCGAGGAATGCCCAGACCTCTACATTGGAGAGACCAAACAGCCACTTCACAAGCGCATGGCACAACACAGAAGAGCCACCTCCACAGGACAAGACTCAGCAGTCCATCTGCATCTAAAGGTCAAAGGTCACTCTTTGAGGATGCCAATGTTCACATTTTGGACAGAGAGGACAGATGGTTTGAAAGAGGAGTGAAAGAAGCATCTATGTCCACTGTACGCGACCATCTTTGAACAGAGGCGGGGTTTATGACACCAACTCTCTGCCATCTATAATCCAGTTTTGAGATCCTTCCCAGACGCCTTAACGCCCACTCACATCCTGGGCCATCTGACCTCAGGAGATCACATGATAAGGTGGGGCCAGGTTTCACAATGAACTCACCCGAAACTCTGGCTGATTGGGACCCACACCCAGTTTCACACCTTGGCTCAGGCGATTAGAGGATCATCAGGGGTCCTTTTCTCCCTCTGTGGGGGGAAACTCCCACTAGGTTTATATCTGGGACTCTCCACCATTTGACCTTAGAACTGAAGAAGCTTCTCGGATGAGAGGTGAAACGTCTTCAAGCAACTTAAAGAAGTCCAGACGCTTTTCCTTGCAAGCTCCTTTGACTGTAGGTATGTAGAAGACTCCCCCACTTCAGTGAAGATGTTTCCGGCGGGACAAAGACATCGTATCCCAAGACATCCAAGAGATTGGAGAAAAGAGCCATCAGTTAGTTTTCCTTCTACAACTCGAGGTGCCAACACCCTCTAAGTTATCCAAGCAATATTTGTGCCTATTGTAGTCCAGGATTGCTTCTTGCTTTCACGCATCCTTTATTCCCCATCACTGACTGCTGGTTCCTTGTGTGTTGCTGTCAAAAGAAGCACATTCCTCCGTTGCTTTGGCATGTGGGATATCGCCGTGGTAGCTTTGGTGAAGCCAAAGACAGACAACAAAACTTCCTCTGTTGCAACTGGAGGAGCTGGGGAGGAAGCTCTGGGTTGTTTCCCCTGTGCCCGTTTTCATCTGAGGAGTTCCAATCTGCAATTTGAAGTGTTCCTCACACATAGACTGTGTCTGGAAGCAGGCCCAGACACAGTCTATGTGTGAGGACTTCCTGCAGCAACTCAGGAAGTTCAAGCTGCCACAGGAGGTCACCTTCTACACCTTCTGTCCCATGCACATCAATTACTGTCTGGTTCAGTTCAGCCCCGAAGACTGCAACAGACAATCAGGTCTGCAGAGAGGATCGTCAGCTGCCTGCAGACTCCTCCCATCCTGTTCAAACTGCTGCCTTCAGACCGCCGTCTAGGTTTTCTTCCCTCTGTCACTCTGATGAACACTGTGAAATAAGCTGTTATAGCATTCATATGTGCATTGGGCTGCTATTGTGCTCAGTTTGTATAGTTTGTTAGACTTTGTGTAACTTGTTTTCTCTTACTTTTTGTTTGCATGCATAGATCAAAGTGACCCAGAGTCAGAGTCCATGTTTGTGGACACAGATTTGGCCAAATAAAGAGGATCTGATGATGCCGACTTTGGAGAGTGGGTTTTTGCAACCAACTCTCCAGTTTTCAAAACTGTTCCGACATCTGTCCTGTTTGTCTGCATGTCTCTGAGCTTCTGTGCAGGAACATCATGAAAACGGCAGTAAAAACTATGATCGTCCACTCAGTGTCCACAGGTTAGAGAAACTGAGGGTGCATGACCGGCCGACGCACCACAAAGATGTGGGTGTTACAATAAACAGAGCCTTGGTTTGGTGACAAACTGAATTCAATCGATTAGAAAACATACTTAATGTTACATGGAATTTGCTTTTGTCTCCATTACAAAGATCAAGAGGCCCAACAACGGCAGTAACACAAGAGCAAACAGAACTTACTCGCAGAGGATGACCCCATCCTTCAAGCCTTTCTGGAAATTCTCTCCAATAGACATTCCGGTCACCTCTTCAATCCAGAAACGGAGCTCCTCCTCTTTCTGTGGGTCATATTTTTGAGCAATCTGGAGAGATTAAAACACAAATAATAATATGACCACATGAGTCTGTGATAGCACAGCTGCTAGCACCAGTGCCCAGCAGACCATGCTGAGCCTTTACCATCTACAGACATCGGAGCTTTCAAAAATCATCAGTCGTGTTTCATCTGACCAAAGCCTCACCAATGTATAACGTGTATTCTTTGGTTATACAGAACTAAATAAATATTTCACCCTCACAGGGTACTGTAGGGTCAAAGGTCAGCCACACAGGGTAGTGTAGGGTCAAAGGTCAGCCTCAGAGGGTACTGTAGGGTCAAAGTCAGCCTCAGAGGGTCTGTAGGGTCAAAGGTCAGCCTCAGAGGGTACTGTAGGGTCAAAGGTCAGCCTCAGAGGGTACTGTAGGGTCAAAGGTCAGCCTCAGAGGGTCCTGTAGGGTCAAAGGTCAGCCTCAGAGGGTACTGTAGGGTCAAAGGTCAGCCTCAGAGGGTACTGTAGGGTCAAAGGTCAGCCTCAGAGGGTACTGTAGGGTCTGGGCACTCTTAAATGATGAGGTTTGGGCACTTGCAGCAGAAACAGCTTTTTTAAAACCTTTTCTCAGTAACTTTCAGACCACGAGGGACACACTAACACTGCAGTCATGAATAATAGAATTGTGGTTTACAGGTGCTTGGTGGTCTTAAACTATCTTCTGCTGAGGTCCAAGAGTCTCTCTGTGCTGTCCTTTAAATGGTGGGGCTGTCACATGGTACACTTTCCATCAAAGGTTTTTACATGTTAACCCTGAACCGTCGTTTTCTCTTAGGCTCTCCATCAATCACAGTAAAAGACTGAAACAGGGCGTTTCTAGAAAGAGGTCAGGGAGGTAACGGAGAGCAGCCAGCAGGGCTTTTCTTCTTATCGGTTTGATTTAGAACAGGCACTGGCATTTTGCTTCTAATTATTACTGTTTTGGGGTTTTTAAGATGCCGAGTAACACATCCAGTTACCCGTTCAGCTGGTAAAGAACTGCTGACAGATTAAAGTGGTTCACAAAGTCTCCAGAATCAACAGGACATGAAGCGCCCTTGCTGATCACTGTGGTTTGTTCTATTCTATCATGTGGACTAAACAAACACTCCTGCTGGGATCAGCTCATGCCCCAAACACATGTGGAAGCCTCACTCTCCACTGAATCCATCTCACCAGGTAATCCTGTGCTACAGAGGACAGATGGACCACAACCCATCCAAAGCACAGGGACTCTGCATTTCTGAAGCATACGGAGGAACAATGGAGGACTTTTATCTGATAATATCTCTGAGTGTTTGTTTTTGTAGGAAGTTTCATCATATTGTAAATGTATTATCCAGAAAAACAACTTCTTTCTGCTGCTCCAAAACTACTGTTGATATCGTTTAAAAACATCCATTTCCACATATTTATTTTAACACATTCACTCAGGCAGCCAAGCTGTTGTGTTTGTGTTGTGTGGTAACAACTGGCTGGCTCCCAGTTCAGTTACTAAAACAGAAAACCATGAAAAACGGGACAAAGTTCAGAATGTGATAACAAAACTGTTTCTTTGAACTTCTGTGATGAAGCAGGAAAAGCACAGAGCTCATGCACAAACATGCAAAGAAAGCTCTCTCCCAGACTTGGATGGATACAGCTGCTTTATGGCCAACTGTCCACTGAATAAGGGCTGATTATATCTGCGGGGCCTTTCTTTAATCAGTGCTGTCATGTTTAGCTATATTACACGTTTTTTAAAAAATCCCCCAAAAGTTTCCCTCAAAACTCCAAATTTCAGTCGAGCTTGAGAGCATCTACTTTGGAGCAGGTTTTAGTTTTTAGTTGGCACTCAGAGAAGCTGCTGTCCCACATCATGCCAGAGACTTGGGGGATCCCAGGTTGTTCCCGAACATCCTAACCGACCGACCTCCAATCCGAGGAAGGCAGTTTGAGTCTTCCTCTCAACCTTGGCAAAGAGGGGAGCATTCGAAGAACTTGTCCTTGCATACAACTGTTAGAACTCACAATCTTGGAACCTGCAGTTGTTCCAAAATGGTTCCATTTCTGAACGACTGCACTTTCAGTTTGGTCAAACAGATGCTTTTTATACTGGCAGAGAAAAACTACCAGCTCTAACAAAAAGGGCTTAAATTTAGCGGCCTGGACAGCAGGTCTCAAGGGTCTGTTACATGTTACTGCAGCAGTTTCAAAGTTATTTATACTACTGAGGAGTAGTACTCATTTTGCCCTTAAAAAGCCGAAAATGTCAAAAGTTTAGACTTCTTTAATGAAGGATATTTTATTAAAGAAAACTAGCAAAGCAAAAACAAATGCAGACAGTAATAATCCCAAAATAATAATCACCTGAAATATAACCTAGTCTGAGCTAACGCTGGGAGTAAGAAGCTTGGAGAGACGACGAGCACCCTCAGATCTGAAGATGCACTCTCCCCGTGTTAGAGGCTGAGCAGAAATCCAAATCTTCTTGAGCTCTTCAGATTTTAAAGCCCAAACTTTTCTTCTTTTCTGTCTTATTGTAACATAGAATTTCTACACACGAACACTGAGGCAGATTTGAATATGCTTCATCAGTCTTCAGTTAGATCATGATTCAATTCAATTTTATTTATATAGCGCCAAATCACAACAACAGTCACCTCAAGGCAATTTTTATTGTAAGGTCGACCCTACAATAATACATACAGAGAAAAACCCAACAATCATATGACCCCCTATGAGCAGCACTTTGGCGACAGTGGGAAGGAAAAACTCCCTTTTAAC